GAACTTGAACTGAACTCAACTGGAACTGAACTAGAACAGAACAGAACAGAACAGAACTAGAACAGAACAATGAAATATTGATTTAACTAAATATTTAGTGCACTACCCCCATCTCTGCTATTTATAAATATATTAAACTTATTATAAATAATTTATACCTGTTCATTGTATTTGTTATTTGTTCATATATTCAATTAAAATTCATTAATTACAAATAATCATCATCATAATTATCATCATTATTTTGTTTGTATGCTTAAAACAAAACATTAATTAACTTTATATTTGATTTTCACAAATGAATTTCAATTTCAATTTATTTGTATTATTTGCTATTTTTTTCCACTCTCTGACAACAAATAAACATGAAAAATATTATTTATAACAAACCATTTATAAAATAATTAAAATAATTTGTAAAGCACATACAAACGCACACCAACACATTCATTTACTCGACATTACATTCAACTTTTGCTTGGGTAAACCCCAACAATTTTAATACAATTTATTACAACAAATAATTGAATTGAAGGTTTTTTTTTCGCAATTATTTTTTCATTACAAAACTCAGATTTGTCATGTGAAATTGAAAATAAAAAAAAAAATTATTATAGATTTTATGTTTGTTTTTTACGCCCGTATGCGTAGTAATACATAAAAAGGACTTCAATTGAATGACATCAACATGAAGAATGTAATTTTAATGTAATTTCTATAAAATCAAATTACAAATTAAATTTATTTTTATTTATAAAATGTTTTTATATATATGTATGTGCGTACGTTTTTGAGGGTTATGTATTGAATTTACTACTACTTACTCATTTAATATGGGGCATATAAAAGTATTTTTATATGTTGAAATACTATAAGGGTACGTGGTATTAAACAGTGGGCCAATAAAAATCAACTATGACAACAAATTATATCTTATTCATTTGAGTCATAAAAAATATTTTCAAATTACAAAATATCCTTATTCTCACAACAATTTGCAATTTTTCCTTACAGATTTCTCTCCCACTGTAATAGAATATGTTTGTAACTATATACATTAATAGCCAAACTTCATTTTCATTTGGAAATCAATTCTGTTGTTTGGTACTATTTTTTTTTTATTTCCTAAGTACGCTACACCTAACAATTCACTAAATTTTTCTTATATCTCAAAACAAATATACCTTTCAAAATGTTAACTATAGCCGTGAAAATATTTTAGACAATTTTGTATTTTACCACAGTAGGGTGTCTTTGTTACTACTTTTGTTTGTCACATATTTTTACTTATTTAAATTTTATTATTTATTTTCATTTGTATTTATTTTTATAACCCACATACGTTTTTCCTGTCTTTTATGTAATTTTTCAATTTCAGTTCCGAAACAAAAAAAGTGTGCAGAGTATTTAAACAGGGAGGGAAACTAATAAAAATCCAACAAATTCCCATTAACATGAATTTTACCACAGCTAAAATAGAACTATAACAGAAGTAGAACAGAACTAGAAAAGAACTAGAACAGAACTAGAACAGAACTAGAACAGAACTAGAACAGAACTAGAACAGAACTAGAACAGAACTAGAACAGAACTAGAACAGAACTAGAACAGAACTAGAACTAGAACAGAACTAGAACAGAACTAGAACAGAACTAGAACAGAACAGAACTAGAACAGAACTTGAATTAGAACAGAACTAGAACAGAACTAGAACAGAACTAGAACAGAACTATAACAGAACTAGAACAGAACTAGAATAGAACTAGAACTAGAACTAGAACAGAACTAGAACAGAACTAGAACAGAACTAGAACAGAACTAGAACAGAACTAGAACAGAATTAGAACAGAACTAGAACAGAACTAGAACAGAACTAGAACGGAACCAGAACAGAACTAGAACAGAACGGAACTAGAATAGAACAGGAACAGAACGAGAAGACGTTCTTAATTCTTATCAAATTTAAAAAAGATCTTTTAATTTGAACATTTCTCTTGCATACTTTTAAGTATCTTTTATTTCAATAGTAATAATTATAGCCTATATATAGGTTTCTTAAATGAATAAAAATCTGTGGCATACTTTTAGGATAATTAAAGAAGTTCTTAAAGAATATTAATTTATTGGGCCCCCTTTTGAAAAGTACGTCATTGTTCAAAAAATACAGTTGGAAATTTTTATTTTATTTCTACGACATCTTTTTTTCGTTTTTTTTTTTATAATTCACTCATTAAATTAACAATTATTTTTGTTCAAGCCACCACACATAAATGAACACACAAACACGTGCTCTCTTAGCATCCGAAAAGAGACAATAACATATTGTGAGTGATTTTTTTTTTTGCACTTCCAGCGACAAAAATGTGTGACACGTATGTCACATATTTGTAAAAATGTATTGAGTGTTGACTCACACACACATACAGTTTCAAACTGTTTTTGTATACATTCATACATACATATATTTTTTAATTTCAGTAAATTTTTATATTGTTTTTTTTTTTTTTTTTTTTTGTTGCTTTCGTTTAATATCCACAGATTGTGTTTCAATGTTATTGTAAAAAAATTTTGTTGAAATATCTGTAAGAGTGTATGTCTGTGTATTTGTTTAACAATGATTGTTTGTTATTATCACTGAAAATGAAAATCCTTGATTAAATTTTGTTACTTTGTGTACAAGTAAGAAGTAGGAGATAAAATGACGTTGCAGCAAAAGAGAGAGGGTGAGAAAGTGACTGATTTATATGAAGTTTTTAAGAGCTTAATAACTACACAGATAGCCACTCAACTATAAACTGATATGGTTGCAGTTCATATATATACAATTTTTTACAATATCTTTATTAATTGAAGAGGTTTTATAAAGTTGAATTACTTTTTAATAAAAAATTAATTTAGCTTAAATTTAAATTTTAAATTATCCTGTCAAATTTTAATTTAACACTTGGCAAAAATAATTCCCACAATTATTATTTGTTAATTTATTTTATTTAATTAATTGAAGCCCAGCAAAAAAATACAACTTTTTTCGCACACGCAATGATTTCAATTAAAAATTTTATTTCACAGTCTATTTTTAGGATAATTAAAAATTCAATAACACAAACTGCTGAAAAATTTTCAATTTATTTGCCTCTCGACAAACAAACAGATAAAATTTAATAGACAAAAAAAATTGTTATTAAAAATTTAGTAGTTAACTGTTAACACAAGAAAAAAAACTAAATAAATCAATGAAATTTCAATTATATTGTGATTTATAAAACAATCACTTTATCACCTCAATATACACACACACATACATACAAAAATAATAACAATAATATCTACAAAAAAAACAACAATTACAATTTAACAAAATGCTAGTAACACACATTCAAAATAATTAAATAGATTCAACTGCAAAAAAAACAACAAACAAAAATATTATCAATAAAAAAATCATGATAAAAATTTTTGATATTAAATCAAATAAACACAACAACAATAAACAGATGACACATACACAAACTTACAAACCTACATAAAAATTTATACACAACATCAATTTCCCACTCCAGCTGTTCGTAGTTCAGTAGAGAGTGTGAAAGAGATGAATGAACGAAAGAGAGTTAAAATTGTGTTACAAAGAATTTAATTAAAATCAGATTTATACAAACAAAAATCGTACGGAAACACAAACAGTTATATACACACAAACATTTGTGTGAGCAAGTACTTGTGTATGTGTCAGACATATACATATAAATATTACAACAGTAAGAGACAAAAGAAGTGATTTGTGATATTAGTTATTGTAACAGTTTAAAAATTTCCTAACAGTATGCCACGAAAAGGTATTTTATTAGGAACCCTAAATGTATGCTTTAACTTTAATTCAGAATAAATCTCTGTTCTACTACTGTTCTAGTTTTGTTCAAGTTCTGATCTAGTTCTGTTCTAGTTTTGTTCTAGTTCTGTTCTAGTTCTGTTCTAGTTCTGTTCTAGTTCTGTTCTAGTTCTGTTCTAGTTCTGTTCTAGTTCTGTTCTAGTTCTGTTCTAGTTCTGTTCTAGTTCTGTCCTAGTTCTGTTCTAGTTCTGTTCTAGTTCTGTTCTAGTTCTGTTCTAGTTCTTTTCTAGTTCTGTTCTAGTTCTGTTCTAGTTCTGTTCTAGTTCTGTTCTAGTTCTGTTCTAGTTCTGTTCTAGTTCTGTTCTAGTTCTGTTCTAGTTCTGTTCTAGTTCTATTCTAGTTCTGTTCTAGTTCTGTTCTAGTTCTTTTCTAGTTCTGTACTAGTTCTTTTATAGTTCTGTTCTAGTTCTGTTCTAGTTCTGTTTTAGTTCTGTTCTTGTTCTGTTCTATTTCTGTTCTATTTCTGTTCTAGTTCTGTTCTAGTTCTGTTCTAGTTCTGTTCTGTTTTAGTTCTGTTCTGTTTTAGTTCTGTTCTAGTACTGTTCTAGTTCTGTTCTAGTTCTGTTCTAGTTCTGTTCTAGTTCTGTTCTAGTTCTGTTCTAGTTCTGTCCTAGCTCTGTTCCAGTTCTGTTTTAGTTCTGCTCTAATTCTGGTTCTATTCTAGTTCTGTTCTAGTTCTATTCCATTCCGTTTCTCTTTGTTTTCTCCCCCACTGTATTAACTGTTTTAAATGTATGCATTTATTGAAATATTTTTTATTGGTAGGCAATATTCCACTTACTGCATTTTTTTATATAAATTTTTTAAAACAATTTTTCAACTATAAGTTTTTATCCAAAACTCATATCAACTCAAACATATGAATATATTAACACATACATATTTACCTTCAATAAATATGTGACTGTATACGATTCTGTAAACTTCCGTCTACTGATTGAGTAACAATTTTTATCTACTAACAAATAACAACCTATTTTTCTCTCTTCTCTCCTTTTCTTCCCTTTCCTGCTGTTATCGCTTCAAATGGAACTGCAATTCATCTATATAAATATCCTTTAAAAACTGAAATGATTTTTACATTTGTGTCCACACATACACATACAAACAGCCTGCGAGTTACGGTAAAAAGAACGGCATGTGGTATGCTTCACCGGGCAATCAGGGCTGGGGCTCAAAACCTGCCAGTCGTAAGCCATCAATAATGGAAGCGGATTTGGGTACATTATCAACCACATCGGGCTCGATAAAACGTAGCGCCGGACGTGTGATACGTATTATCAATAATTTGGATCATTCCGTGCAGGTAAGTGTACCATTGGGAATAAAACAATAAGTAAAATACAAAAAAAAAATTTAAAAAATAACAACCACTAGCAAGAGCAAAAGAAAAAATCTTTAAAAATGCAATAAATACGGTCGGTAGTATAATAAATGCAACAGCTACTAAAAAGCGACAGAGTGAAAAATTTTTCATGGGAAATGATTGTGCAGCCAACAGAATGTGCTTAAAATTTATGCAAAATCCCCTGCTTTTTATAAAAGGAATTTTATAAATTTGTATGTATGTATGAAAGTGTACGTGTGGGCCCCCTGTTTATGTATGCGTGTGATGAAAATATGTGTTGGCATATTGTCAAGCGTATTGTGTGTTTGCCACACAAAAATATTTATGACAAAAACCCCTACACTTATGCAAAATTTATAAATGCATCATAAAAATAAACAAAAAACGTTTAAATATAAAACGTTCTTGTAAATTTAATTAAGTTCAGATTTTTATTATTATTTCTGGTTTAAATTAGGAAATTCAACAAAAAAATAACAAATGAAAATGAAAACAATTGGAAAAACTCGGTGACATTAATTAAATTAGTGAAAGGAAAGTGACGGCTTTTTAAATGTATTTTAAACGCATAAAATTTTCAGAATTTTATTAACTAGAACAGAAATAGAACAGAACTAGAACAGAACTAGAACAAAACTAAAACAGAACTAGAACAGAACTAGAACACTAGAACACTAGAAAAGAACTAGAACAGAACTAGAACAGAACTAGAACAGAACTAGAACAGAACTAGAACAGACTAGAACAGACTAGACAGAACTAGAACAGAACTAGAACAGAACTAGAACAGAACTACCGAACTCAGAACAGAACTAGAACAGAACTAGAACAGAACTAGAACAGAACTAGAGCAGAACTAGACAGAACTAGAGCAGAACTAGAACAGACTAGAACAGAACTACGAACTAGACAGACTAGAACAGAACTAGAACAGAACGGAACTAGAACTATACAGAACTAGACATAGACTAGAACAGAACCTAGAACAGACTAGAACTGAACGAGGAACGACTAGAACGAACTAGAACAGAACTAGAACAGAACTAGAACAGAACCTAGAACAGAACTAGACAGAACTAGAACAGAACTAGGAACAGAACTAGACAGAACTACTAGAACTAGAACTAGAACTAGAACAGAACTAGAACAGAACTAGAACAGAACTAGAACAGAACTAGAACAGAACTAGAACAGAACTAGAACAGAACTAGAACAGAACTAGAACAGAACTAGAACAGAACTAGAACAGAACTAGAACAGAACTAGAACAGACTAGAACAGAACTAGAACAGAACTAAAACAGAACTAGAACAGAACTAGAACAGAACTAGAACAGAACTAGAACAGAACTAGAACAGAACTAGAACAGAACTAGAACAGAACTAGAACAGAACTAGAACAGAACTAGAACAGAACTAGAACAGAACTAAACAGAACTAGAACAGAACTAGAACAGAACTGGAACAGAACTAGAACTGATCTAGAACAGAACTAGAACTGATCTAGAACTGCTTAAAACTGAACTGAACTAGAAACAGAATTAGAACTGAACTTGATCTGCACCAGAACAGAACTAGACCAGTACTATGACTAAAGAGACTTTAATTTTTTCTATTAAGGTGTTTTATTTGAAATTTAATTTGTTTGCTTAAATTTATCTATTTTTTCATTGTTTAATTTAGAAAATTAAATTCATTTTATTAGTAAAATAATAAATTTTCACTGAATTTAAGTTTAAACAAATATTATTGTTGCATTGATATTTGTTTACTAAATAAATTTAAGCAAATATTGTTGTTGTTGTTAAAAAAAAACTTAGTTTAGTTAAATTATTTACTGGAATTTAGCTACGTTTCTCTTGTGGCGCCCAAGCATATTTGCTTTATAAAACAGTAGTATGATTTTAGGCGTAATAGGTCTGAAAATAAATATTTAGTTTGTTTTCATAATAAAAATACAAAAATTAAATAAACGTAGTTTATATTTAGAAGAACAGGAAGGCTTTTTGTTAACTGATCTAGCCCAGTGTGTTTATTAGAGAATTTAAAAAACAGACAAATTTTAGTATTTAGCTTTGTGCTGAAAAAAACAATGTTGTGGTGAAAGGTTTTTTATAGATTTTTTTGCGAATTTATTTTTTAATTTATTTATTTTTTACATTTTATCTTAAATAAAATAAACAAACATTAATACAACACCAGAGGATTAAGTATTAAGCTTTTGCACATACAGACACATAAAATCTGTATAAAAAATCTCTATATAAAAAATCTATAAAAAAAAGGAAAAATAAAACTTCAGGGGAAAACAATCCAACAAAAGCCATTTTAGCAATATTGATTTTATTTAAATCCCCAAAGATAATAAAATATAATTGTTGTTATGTTTTAAATGGAAAATTTTCAAACACGTGTGTGTATGTGTGAAAAAATAATAAAAAAAGAGCTGTACAAAGTAAGAAAGTCAAAATAATCATAAACTTTTTTTTTTGGAATTTTCACACCTCTCTAAAACGTCAATGAAAAGCGAAAAAAGAAAACACCTATAGGGTAGCCAAAAAAAATGCCAATGTTAGCAATTAACCTTTGTCTACTTTTGGGGTGATGATAGAAAAAGAGTGGAAAAGCAAACTTTTTCTTTATAAATAAATAACTACAAATTTACAACAGCACGCGATATTTTTAAAAAAAGTAAATAAAAAATCAATTGTCTGTTAAACCCCAAATATGGTAAAAAAAAAGTGTTAAAAATTTAGTCAGGGTCAATTTAAAAGCCTTTGTAAAACTCATTTTGTTTTATTTATTTTCAATTTGTTGATTTTCCTCTTAAATCTCAGCAAAATCCCACAGTAATTTATATTTTACCAATAAAACCATTAGTTTGGGCCACAATTACAGCAACAATTGCAAATGGCCAAAAACTATTTACATACATTTGTTTGAACATGTACGGCAATACATATGTATATAAATATCAACCAAAAAACAACAAAATAACAGAAAAGAGGTGCTAACGGATGCCACAAAATACAAAACACGATTTTAGTCCGCACATAACATTGGCCTTAGCCATCAATTCATGTAAGTTTTTTTGCAATTGGCTTTAAACATTTCAAACCCTTCTCCTTTCTTCCCATCACCCTCTGCCAATCACCATAAAATTGTCCCACACCAAAAAAAATTGTCGGCTGATGATGGCCTGTGATGATGATGTTCGATTTCTCGCGTGTTTTGTATAATAGGCCTTTTTACATATTTCATCATACAACGAAAAAAAACAAAAGGCCAAAAAATCTTATGGAAATTTTCCAAACTACAATATGTGGGGTATAGCTTTAGGGGTAATTATACATCAATCAAGAGTGTAGGCGTTAAATTTTTAGTTGCAGCGTAATAAACGAAGAAAAGTGCAAAATGAAATGCTAAAATTCAAGCAAATACACAAATTTTTTCAATATTTTTTAGTACATTTTCCATACTTATTGCAAAATTGTTTTTCCTAAAGGTGAAGCACACCTTTAGGCGAGGCAATTTCGGAAAAAGGCAGATACTTTAATTGCCTATGTAAATAGGTAATTTTAAATATTAAGGTGTGAAAGACATTTAAAATTCTTATGAAATTATTTAGGAAAGAATTAATTTCTTTAATTTTTGTTCTACTTCAACTCTAGTTCCGTTTTAATCTCTTTCTGGTTACAGTGAAAGCCTAGTTATAGATCAGCTCTAGTTCAGTTCTAGTCCAGTTTTAGTTCAGTTCTAGTTCAGTTCTAGTTCAGTTCTAGTCAGTTCTAGTTATGTTCTAGTTCAGTTCTAGTTCAGTTCTAGTTCAGTTCTAGTCAGTCTAGTTCAGTTCTAGTAGTTCTAGTAGTATCTAGTTCAGTAAGTTCAGTTCTAGTTCAGTTCTAGTTTCAGTTCTAGTTCAGTCTAGTTCAGTCTAGTTAGTTTCTAGTTCAGTCTAGTTCAGATTCTAGTTCAGTTCTAGTTCAGTCTAGTTCAGTTCTAGTCAGTTCTAGTTCATCTAGTTCAGTTCTAGTGTCAGTTCTAGTTCAGTTCTAGTTCAGTTCTAGGTCAGTTCTAGTCAGTTCTAGTCGTTCTAGTTCAGTCTAGTTCAGTTCTAGTTCAGTTCTAGTCAGTTCTAGTTCAGTTCTAGTTCAGTTCTAGTTCAGTTCTAGTTCAGTTCTAGTTCAGTTCTAGTTCAGTTCTAGTTCAGTTCTAGTTCAGTTCTAGTTCAGTTCTAGTTCAGTTCTAGTTCAGTTCTAGTCCAGTTCTAGTCCAATTCTAGTTCAGTTCTAGTTCAGTTCTAGTTCAGTTCTAGTTCAGTTCAGTTCTAGTTCAGTTCTAGTTCAGTTCTAGTTCTAGTTCAGTTCTAGTTCAGTTCTAGTTCAGTTCTAGTTCAGTTCTAGTTCAGTTCTAGTTCAGTTCTAGTTCAGTTCTAGTTCAGTTCTAGTTCAGTTCTAGTTCAGTTCTAGTTCAGTTCTAGTTCAGTTCTAGTTCAGTTCTAGTTCAGTTCTAGTTCAGTTCTAGTTCAGTTCTAGTTCAGTTCTAGTTCAGTTCTAGTTTAGTTCTAGTTCAGTTCTAGTTCAGTTCTAGTTCAGTTCTAGTTCAGTTCTAGTTCAGTTCTAGTTCAGTTCTAGTTCAGTTCTAGTTCAGTTCTAGTTCAGTTCTAGTTCAGTTCTAGTTCAGTTCTAGTTCAGTTCTAGTTCAGTTCTAGTTCAGTTCTAGTTCAGTTCTATTCTAGTTCTGTTCTAGTTCTGTTCTAGTTCTATTCTAGTTCTGTTCTAGTTCTGATCTTGTTCTTGTTCTGTTCTGTTTTGTTCTGTTTGTTCTGTTCTTGTTCTGTTCTGTTCTGTTCTTGTTCTGTTCTTGTTCTGTTCTTGTTCTGTTTGTTCTGTTCTTGTTCTGTTCTTGTTCTGTTCTTGTTCTGTTCTGTTCTTGTTGTTCTGTTCTTGTTCTGTTCTT